TGATTCACCACTACATGCTGGCAGGTTCAGGGATAAACTGTGCCAATTGCTTCGAATGAACCGAACAGACTTAACACCACAACAGGCAGTTCTTCATATTAACCATGTGGCACAAGTAATGGCCAGGCAGATGGGAAAATACAGTGAGAATGAAAAAAATCAGATTCTTGACCGATGAGAAAAAAAATTTCCTTGTTTTGTCTCTCAAGCCTGAAATGGCAACTTCACCACTTCTTCACATCTCATCATTGAGTGGCAACTCACCTTATTTCCATGCATTCGCATCTCGTTAAAGCCACAACTTACCTAATTTGTATGCCACTTCCAGTTCTCCTCTTGTTCACAGAGACTCAAAACAACACAAATTCACATCCTATAAATCAGAGCATCTATTTGGTGATTGGAGCTCACTGAATGCCTGTGCTGGCCATCAATCAACCATTTCTTCATAACTCAATGGCTCCACTTGAGCCCTTCGGTTGTAGCTCAGGGATGTCATGCTATATCGTAGCCACATCTTCAGCGCATGCCAGCAGATTACATGGCAAAAACACTGCATGTGTGTCGAACAAATGGCTATGTGTGAAAGTCAATGGGGAGGAGTGCTTAGTGAGGTGAAGGCAGATTATTGCCAATCAGGGGTGTAACCACAGTTAGTTTAAGTGCTTGTCTAATTCCAGTCAAGAGGATTGGCTACAGTCAGTTTGGCACTTGATTTGACCAAAGTTGGAGTATTTGTGCTTTGCAGTCTAGGGATTGGGCCACAATAAGTCCTGTGGGTCAAGTGCAAGCATCCTGGGATTACAGATAATCAGTTAGAATGCTCTGAAGACATCATTCTGAGGGATGCACTAATGTCTTCCTTCAATGAGACAAAGGGAAGGATTCAGTTTGATAGAAAAGCAGTTAGTGGTAATGCATGAGCAGGAGAGGTGGTGATGTGATTCCTCTCCCTTCCCCCTCCCCCCAGTGAATGAGTAGGAAGTGCAGAGGCCAGAAAGCAGCAGTATTTGAGAGCATGATGTGGGTGGGGCCTGTTGAGTGGACATGACATATGTAATGGTGAGAGTTGTAGTCCATGTGCCTTGGTGAGAGACGTGTGCAGTAGTAGATTTTGTGAGTAGTGGGCCAATGTGAAATAGTAGACAGAAGATGATGATGCCTCATGTAATACAGAAGATTATTAACCTTCTTCCTGTAGAACTGAGCATACCATTTCACCTGGGATATAACAATAGCTTGGGTTGTAATTTGGGTCCAGGCTGGTGCTGTGGGTTACTATGAATGCTGGCTGGAAAAAGGACTGCCCTCCTTTCCATCAATGTATCCAGCTCCCTGTCTGCAAAGCAGAGAGCAAACCTCCCTTTACTTCAGACAGTGTGATTAGTAATGACAGTTGGGCACCACAATGAGAGGGCCAATTCCTGGCTGGCAGCATCTGAAGTGGTATGTAGCTGGGCTTTAAAAATGGCACCAGTGGTGTGAAAGCCAGAAGGTGTCAGCAGTGGCAAGCGGTTTTCCTGCTCTGTTTATTCCCAGAGAAATGCATTCAAGAACCCAGATGCATAATTAATGCTGTTAGGAGCAGCAGATTGCATAAGAAAAGTTGCTCTGAACCAAGCCAGATCAAGCGCCATGACTCTCACTTGACTAAATGCTAAATGTTGAGTCATCCAAAAGCCTGCTATCCATGTGTTAACTTGCAGCAAGTCATATTCCCCTGTCACCCTTATGTTTGATGGCCCACTTTGGATCTTTGTCAAGCAACATCTTAATTTTAAAACCCTCATTCTTATTTTCAAATAATTCCATGGCCTCATCTGTCTCTAGCTCTGTAATATCTCCAACTCCACAACCCTCTGATATCTGCACTCATTTAATTCTGGCATCTGTGCATTCTTCGTTATAATTACTACACCACTAGGGGCTGTGTCATCAGATACCTAGGCCCCAAACAATTCCTTCCCTGCACCTCCCTACCATACCTTCCTCATTAACTTTTTGACTAAGCTTTTCAATCACTTAACCTCATCTTTTTATGGAGTTTAGAGTCATATTCTTTTCTGGTTCAGGTTCTGAAGAAGGGTCACTGGACCCAAAATGTTAACTCTGCTTTCTCTCCATAGATGCTGCCAGACCTGTTGATCTTTTTTCCAGCAATTCTGTTTTTGTTTCTGATTTCCAGCATCCACAGCTTTTTTGGTTTTTTGTTTAGTGACAATGATAAGTTGTAGAAACAGTCAAGCAATCCCAACTATACAATGGCCACACTCAGACTTAAATTAAGAAACATACATTGAAATTGTAAATAGTTTTCAACTGCAGGCTGGCTGATTCTTTTTTTCAAAATATAAACAGCAGTCTTTAAATGTCTTGCTTGCTTGACAGTTCCAACACCTTATCTACTTTTTCGTATCTACTCTTAATAATACCCAAAGGGTATCTTAGCTCCCCAAAGAACCCTTGGAGGTTTACACCTTTAACTCAAATGTCTAAAGCCCATGAGCCATTTTTTTACAAAACTGGGTGGCCAAATTTGTTTCTGTTGAAGGCAGTTTCACTTTTGAATGTGCTGTTGCTTCTGCAAACTGCGTATATATGAAAAATGCCCATTACCTTTCACCACCACCACCACCACCTACACCCCAGTAAAAATGATGGTGCTGGGTTCAGAGATAACACACCTAATTCTGGGCTCTGGCACCATTTTGGCTACAGTGTGGAGACTTCCAGATTTTATAAAAATCAGGCTAAACAGTTTGATCCTAATTGCTTCCAAATTGACTACAGATTGGCAAAGTACTGTATGTGTTATGTGCACCACAGACAGCTTGGAAAATTTTCTGAAGTTGGGCAGCAAAATGCTGATACAATATGCACTCACTGTGCTATCTGGTAGTAATCTTGCACTATAAAATTAAATCTTGTATCATCCCATTTACAACATCTGCCCTGTGTACAACTATGAAGTAGATGGGGGAAGAAAAATTTCTTTTTGTGTATGATGCCACTAGCTAGAAGCTGCATATAACATATCATTCCCAAACAACATGCTGAGGTGGTGTAAAAATAAAATGTATCAAACACGAATGCAGTTAAATGGAAAGATCCAACACAAGAAGCTGAAGAGAAATAGGACAACTGGTACAGAAAAACAATCCTAACCAAGTGAAGGGGAATGGTGGGCAGGAACTGGAAAATGGTCAGGGAAACTTAGTGCGGGAGCAGAACTGAAAAAAATCAGGAAAGGTTTTGAGTGAGGCAGGCTAAATTTTAAATCTGTAGCAAACGATGTTAAACTGAAACTCTCAACATTAAAAGATTATATTTTCATTATTTTACAAATACGGAGGCTTGGGGACTGCTTTGCGGAACACCTACGCTCAGTTCGCACTAAACAACTGCACCTCCCAGTCGCGAACCATTTCAACTCCCCCTCCCATTCCTCAGATGATGTGTCCATCCTGGGCCTCCTGCAGTGCCACAACGATGCCACCCGAAGATTGCAGGAACAGCAACTTATATTTCTGCTTGGGAACCCTGCAGCCCAATGGTATCAATGTGGACTTCACAAACTTCAAAATCTCCCCTCCCCCTACCGCATCCCAAAACCAGCCCAGCTCGTCCCCGCCTCCCTAACCTGTCCTTCCTCCCACCTATCCCCTCCTCCCACCTCAAGCCCCACCCCCATCTCCTACCTACTAACCTCATCCCGCCCTCTTGATGTGTCCGTCCTCCCTGGACTGACCTATCCCCTCCCTAACTCCCCACCTACACTCACCTTTACTGGCTCCATCCCCGCCTCTTTGACCTGTCTGTCTCCTCTCCTCTATACGTGTTCTATCCGCCTCCCCCTCTCTCCCTATTTATTTCAGAACCCCTTTCCCCTCCCCCATTTCTGAAGAAGGGTCTAGGCCCGAAACATCAGCTTTCCTGCTCCTGTGATGCTGCTTGGCCTGCTGTGTTCATCCAGCTCTACACCTTGTGATCTAGTGCTGAACTCTGTAGAACTTTATTGAAAACAACCATCAAATCACATAAATTGTTTTCTTTAGCTACTTGCCAGTGAGCCAATTTTGGATCCAACAAATAGCTTTTTTCCTTGCATTATATCTAAAATCAATCTGCCTTGTCAAAAGCCTTACCAAAATCCATGTAAGAAGAAACCCTCTTATCCACCATCCTAGTTACCTCTACAGAAAAAGCAATCAAGCTAGTCAGTCATAACTCACTTATTCAAACTCTGGGTTGTCCATGATTAATTAATGTCTTTTTAAATGGTAAATTATATTCCTCCTTGCCCAACACTGAGGTAAAGCTGACTCGTCTGTATTTACTCGGTCTATCTTGATCTCCTTCTCTGAGCAACATGACAGTGTTTGTTTTCCTCCAGTTCTATGATACCACATCAGTAGCCAAAGAGGACTAGAAAATAACGATCAGAACCCTCTGCTATTTCCTCCAATGCTTCTCTTAGTATTCAGGAATATTTTATAAAAATTTATTACTTTCAAAGATAGAAACCCTCTTAAAATTTTATTTTTTTTACCATATTTAAACCATCCAAAATTTCACACTGCTCATCCACAACAACAATTCCATAGAATTCCCCCTCTTTTATTAAGGACGATATACCTGTCTTCTACCTCCACATACCCTATAGATGTGGACCAAGTGCGGATAAATAGGTTTAATGTGTCTTGGTGTTTATGGATTGGCATATACATGGTGGGCTGAAGGGCCTCTTTCAACACTGTACAATGCTATGAACAAGTTACCTCTTTGGTCTCTAATTAGTCTTACTCTTTCTTTAATCATTACTCCTTCCAAAGCAGTTCACTTGACTGGCACCTTAAACATTCAATGTCTCCATCACTGGTGCACAGTGACTGCAATGTGTGCCCCCTACAAGGTGCAATGTGCCAAGGCAGCTTCAACTGAAAAGACTGGTAAAACTTACAATTGACACATACTGGTCCAACCTGCCTTGTATAGATTAGAACAGTGCTTCAATACGAACAGTACATCCATTTCCAAGTTTTACTTTTTTTCTTAAACTGGTTTTTAAACTTATAAATGGAACTCTATATGATTAGCATGTTCAATTCTAAGTATTACTTTTTATTTCCCTCTGACACCCATTACCTCTAAGACCTAAACCGATAAGGGGGGTTTTCCTCCAAGTTAGCCATACCATCCTGACTGTGAATGAAATCACCTTGGCTTCATTGTGACTGCGACAAAATCCTGGACCCTGAAAGCACTGGGGGGTTTGTCCCTGACTCACATGAACTGCAGTGACACCTAGAAAACAACTCACCTCCAAAAATCAGGGATGGGTAATAAACGGTTGTTTGTCAGTAACACTCATATCCCATGAGGATGAAAACACCGTTATAAGAACAGTACCCGCTATCGAGATTCAGCCGCCGGACTATCTTTCCATCATTTGACACAAGAGGCCGCTGTCTGCGGCAGACAGCGCAGAGCACTGCTGCTAAGCAACGGGCTGTACATGCGCAGCGCTCGCTTGTCTCCGCGGGTATATCGTCGGCGAGTTCGCGCGGCATTCTGGGTCGTAGTAAGGCGCCAAGTTCGAGTTTCGTGATCGGTCACCTTGGAGACGGTGGGGAGGCTCGGCGTTTGGGCAAGATGGTGAGGGAGGCAGAAAAAAAAGTGTGTTGTGTTTGAGTGTGTGTTAGTGTTAGCCTCCGACAATTCGCCTGAGAGCGGAAACAGTCGGGTTCGAGTGGACACGGTGTAGTGTCAGTGTAGCCCCTCTCCAGTCCCAGCTCGGTTCTATCCCCTGGCAGCCTCCACACACTCGGCACCTCACTGACAGCCTCATTGTGTGCTCCCCATCTCTCTGTCGCCCCGGCCTCAATTAACGTAAAAACTGTAAATATAAGAACTCTCTCCTCCCCTGCCTCTCCTCCAGTCCGACCTGCCCAGCTGCAGCCTCCTGTCTGCTGAATCCACACCAGAACCTATCTTCTCTCCTGCGCTTTTGCATATGCTTAATACAGTGACTGCCATTTTCTTCCAGTTACTTCTACGCCGTCTATGACCAGACATCTTCCTGTTATTTTTAATTAGGTCTTCCATGGGATATGACTGTTGTTGGCTTAGGCATTATTTATTGCCCAGGGGATGGTGGTGAGCTGCTGTGTTGAACTGCTGCACTCCACGGGGACACTCACAAGAAAGGGACTTCAGGGGATTTAAGCCAATAACAATATGTCTCTAAGCCATGTGACTTGGAGAACTTGCGTGTGGTGCTGTTTTTATGCATCTGCTTCCTTTCCTTTAGAGGTGATGGGATTTATGATGTGATGAAATTATGGCTTTAGGAAATTTTGTTTTTTTTTGAAGCGAGGTTTTGAGTCAGAAGTGCTGAGCTATTGTCTCCAAATTAATAACCTAACCACCTTGTGATGCCTTGAATTTTAATTTAAGTTGCAACAATAGAAACTGCACGAATGGAGTCGTGCTCGTACAGAACCAGGGTTTTAGTTTAGCTTTTGGCAGTTGCAGGGATCTTGAAGCTGAATGTGGAAGTTGTTATTCCTCTCTCTGTTACAGCTAAGAGCTGGAGTTCTCTCTGCTGCCAGAATTACATGAGACAATTTATTTTATTGAATTTGGCTTTGCCAAGGGTGTGTTTAAGGGACGTTACTATATTGGAACAGTTGCTGTTCAATAGTTAAATAATCTATCATTCTGTTAAGTTGTGCAATAGAGTTGTTATTCCAATTTTTCTTTCTTTTGTTTGCATTATAACTGTAGGGTAAAAAAAAGTATTTTTTTTCTTGAAGCTGAGTAGTATAACCAATGAAATTGCATCAGGAGCACAGCACCTTACACTTGCCTTTAATAAGAAAAAGTTAGGGTCTAGGCTATCCCTTTGATATATTTGAAAGGGGTTTATTCTGGTCCATGACAAATTGGGGGTTCTTGTTGGGATCAAAATTTCTAATGTCAGGTCAGGTTTCTGACTCAAAGACTGTGAGTGGTGACTGTTGGTGTTCTGTTTTTTTTCTCGACTGTTGCATTCAGTTGGTTTAAATAGGGTGTGCCTTGTGTAGTAATGGCCCTTCCAGTCACTAAGAGTTTCATGGGAGTGGAACAAGTCTCTTTGGGAGTTTTACAGCAAATGAGCAAGGCAAAACTTTCAGGATTGGCAGACAAATGTAGTTGGAGTTTCCTGTGTCTATGAGGAAGGGGGAAATAATTGCGGCAATAATTCTGTATTCACAGTTACCAGGAATGCAAATAGAGTAATTGGAAAATAGCTAAAAATCAATTGCAAATGAAACAGTTTGAAAACAGAAACAGAGGGGGAGAGAGAAAAGATAGAGAGAATGAGTTTTTGAACTTTTGAAGTTGCAATTGAAAACTGAAAGTCTACTTATAATGATAGAGGTAGAGGTGCAAAAGGGGAGCATTGGTGAGGACAATGATGGAGAGCAATCCCATAAAAGCCGAAGGCCTGGAGGGGATCTGTTTAAATATGTCAAAGCATTGCCTAAGCTTGATGAGAAGGACGTAGAAGCCTCTTTAATTTCATTTGAAAAAGTGGCTAATCAAATGAAATGGCCAGTGGCCATGTGGGTATTATTAATCCAAACAAAGTTGGTAGCTAGAGCTAGTGATGCAAATACCTCCCTATCAGAGAAGGTATCTGGGGCATGGGGCAAACTATGAAGTGAAAAATGCCGTCTTGATTGCATATGAGCTAGTGCCAGAACCCTACAGACGATGTTTTAAGAATCTAATGAGGGAATCTGGTCAAATATACATAGACTTTGAAAGGATCAAACAAAGTAACTTTGATAGGTGGGTAAGGACATTAAAAATAAATCAGACATATGATACTCTTAGACTGTTATTTTAGAGGAGTTCAAAACTTCACTTCTTGAAGCAGTGAGATCATGGAAGAGCAGAGAGTAAAAGTTCCAAGATTAGTAGAAATGGCAGATGATTGAGTTAGTTCATAAATCAAAGTTTGGCTTCTGACATCAATTTCAATCTGAGGGATAGCAGTTGGAGGGAAAACAGAAATCCTCGGGTAGTAAAGGAAAAGGAGATCTTATTGGTGATAGTTTACCACATTAAAAAGGAAACTCATGAGGGGGAAAGAAGTAAATAAAAGTCCTCAGGTGTTTTCACTGTAATAAAGTAGGCCATATGAAGTTACAATGTTGGTGGTTTAGCCAAAGCACTGGGAAGATGGATGTGAGAAAACAGGATAAGCCAGTGAGTTTTGTTGGAGTGGTAAAGGAAGGCAGAGTGGAAATTAACCAGCTGCAAAGGAATGTGCAGCCTCATCAAAGGTTGGTTGAGAAGGAAGTGCCAAATCTCTAAAGAATTTACTTGTATGGATAGGGTTTATTCATGTATGGCAGGAGTAGGTAAAGAAATTACAATTTTAAGAGATACAGGAGCAAGTCAATCTTTGAGAGATGAGGAGATATGTAATTCCAAGGGAGTATTGCCAGAAAAGCTGGTGATATATGGAATTCATGGTGAGAAGAGTAGTGTTTCATTGTATAAGGTGAAGTTGGAGACTTTGGTGAAAAATGAAGTAGTGGTAGGAATAACAGAAATTCTCAATTCCAAAGATGCAGTTATCCTTGGTAATGATATAGCTGGATCACGGGTTGGAGTGTTCCCTGTTGCGGTTGAAAAGCCAGTGGAAAATCAGCAACTGAGATGTTATCGAGGTATATCCTGGGACTTTTCCTGACTGTGGTAACAAGGTCACAAAACCATGGGTTGAAACAGGAGGACAAACGAAAGAATAAAGTTAAGGAAGTTAAGTTCAGTTATCAGAAACTGTTTTGATTAAATGGTTGAGAGAAAACAAACAAGAACAGGTGGAGGATAAAGTGGATATTTTTAGTTCAGAGAAGTTAGTTCACTTACAACTGGCTTTTTTTTTACCTTTTTGTTGTATCAAAAAGCATTCACAGAAGAAGAATCCGAGTGTATCCCAGAATATTACTGTCTGAAAAATGTAATCTTGATGAAGAAATGGGAGACCATCACACATTTAGGCAGATGAAAAACGAACAGAAGTTCATCAAGTTGTATTACGGGTGGATTATAGAAAGAGGTGTTGTGGATAGCATGAGTTACCAGTAGGAGGTCATTTGGGAGCAAGGAAAACTCGAGCTAAAATACAAAAAAAACGTTTTTGTTGGCCTGGACTGTGTAAAGATGTGGTTGAATTTTGCCAGACATGTCATGCGTGTCAGGTAATAGGAAAACCTCAGGCAGCGATAAAACCAGCACCTATAATACCCATTCCTGCATTTGAGGAACCTTTTATGAGAGTCTTAATTGATTTCATAGGACTCCTATCTAAAACAAAAAGTGGAATCAATATTTGTTGACCATATTGGATATGTCTACTGGATTTCCACTGGCAATTCCAGTATGCAGTATCATGGCTAAAAGGATTTTTAAAATTTTTTACTCGATATAGACTACCCACAAAAATACAATCAGATCAAAAGTCAAAATTTATTAAAATTATTTAATGAAGGTATGGATAACTTAGGAACCAAATAAATTAACAACTGCATACCATCCAGAATCGCAGGGGGATTAGAACAGTGGCATCAAACTTTAAAGATCATGTTGAGGGCTTATAGTCAAGACTATTCAGAGGATTGGGATAAAGGATTTCTATTTGTACCTTTTGCAATGAGGATGCACCTAATGAATCAACTAAATTCAATCCATTTGAATTAGTTTTTGAGCATGAGCTGAGGGGACCACTGAAATTAATTAATTACTGATCAAGAATCTATCTCAGCCTAAAGTACACACAGGGACTTTGCCCCACGTCTCTCTGGCAAGGAGTTCCAAAGACACTGAATTCTCTGAGAGAAGAAATTTCTCTTCCTCTGAGTCTTAAATTGGGTCCCCTTTATTCTGAGGTCCTAGACTCTCCCATGAGGCATACATCCTCTCAGCATTTACCCTGTCAAGTCCCTTAAGAATCCTATATGTTTCAATGAGATCACCTCTCATTTTTCTAAATTCCAGTGAGTAGACTCCCCCTGTTTAGCCTTTACTCTCAAGGCCGGGAGCGTCCTGCCATGTAGTATGTGTGTGCCTCTGTTTGATTAGAGCACTAATGTCTTCTGTCAGTATTCTTCTCGTTTCATAACTCCATCTTCCTACCACCTGGTTTCAAGCACAGGATATTGGTCCACCATACAACAGGATACATTTTAACATGAATGAATACAATACCATATTAAAAGACCAAGAAGTACCTTGCATTACAGCTTGTCAAAAATACAGTGTGTAAAAATGCCTTGCAGTGTTGAAGGGCTTACAGCTTGACAATACACAATATCGAAAAGCCTAACACATTGTGATTAAAATCTTCATTACTAAGATGAAGTAAAGTTCCTAAGCACCCAGTCTTTGAATCTTTGCCTACTCCTTTTGTGATATGCATTTCTTCTCCTAAGTTGCCTATATTGAAAATGATGATCTTGGCAGAGTGCTGAGTCCACTTTCATATTTTTCTTAAATGACAGAAACTGCAAAAATGCTGACGGGTGTTTTGGATATTGTAATAAATGTACAGAATAGGAGCAGGAGCAGGCCATTTGGCCCTTTGAGTGTGCTTCACCAATCATTGTGATCATGTCATCTAATTCAGTAGTCAGTTCCTGCTTTTCCCTCATCTTTGGTCCTTTTGGCCCCTAGTGCTGTATCCAACTCCTTAAAATCATATTATTTTTTGGCCTCAATTGCTTTCTGTGGCAGTGAGTACCACTGAACTCTCCACTCTCTGGTTGAAGAAATTTCTAATCTCAGTCTTAAATGTATCCTTAGATGGTGATCCCATGGTTTGGCCATGTTTCTTATTTTAATTTTGCGCCAGACAGGAATGAACAATTGTTCACCCATGTGCTCTTTTAATGTTTCCCATTACCTTTCCACTGTTATCCCTTTCAATATGTTCCCCAGTCTATCTTGACCAACACGTGCCTCATATCACCATAGTTTCTTCTATTTAGATTCAGGACCCTAATCGCAGAACCAACGACGTCACTCTCCATCTTGATGAAGAATTATATTATCATATGGCCATTCATCCCCAAGGTGCCCCACATAACTAGTTGCCAATTATTCCTTTCTGATTGTGCAATACCCAGTCCAGGATGGTCTGTTCTCTAGTTGATTACTGAACATATTGGGTCAGAAAACTATCAAATTCGCACTCCAGGAAATTCTCCCCTATGGTATTGTTAGTAATTTGACTTGCCCAGTTTATATGCAGTTTGAAATCACCTATAATTACAGGTATTCCTTCATTGCATGTGTTTTTAATTTCCTATTGAGTGCCTTACCCAATGTCACCTCTACAGTTTGGGTGTCTACATATAATACCCCCACTTTGTGAGTTTTAGTATTTTTAACACATTAGATAAAACCTTGCAGTAACAATCCTTTTATGTTGATCCTTGAACTTATAGTCTAAAAAGAAGGGACTGAGCCTTGAAGAAAAGCGAACTCGTATGATGGAAATATTTTTTGAAACGGTGAGTGTTGAAAATTCCTGCCATAAAGCTAAATCAGTGAATTAGTGTTTTTTTTCTTAAAGATTGGTCAGACCTCCATTCTATGTGAAATAACAGAAGCTTGTAATTTCACGTTTTTATCGCCCTAATTTGTTTTTTTTTAGAATGCAGCATTTCCTCAATATTGAGTAACTTAGCATTACTTCACGCAAACATTAAATAAAGTAGCTTCGGTATATCCATTTAACATTTGCGTGTTGAACTTTGTTTGCAACAGACCGGTTCTGAGGTCAACCTGCTCACATGATCGTATCCTTATCACTTCGCCCTTCAGACCTCAGAACTTCGCCCTTCAGACCTCGGGTTGCTCTTCGCGTTTCTTGTGTTGATTTTGGGTGAGGATCAAACTGGCAAGCAATTCATTTATGTGCATTTTGAAGTAGGAACATCACACGCAACTTTTCAAAATCCAGATGTGGAATACAAAGTCTAAAGAAGGTCCACTTGAAATAGAGATTTGCAGTGTTGTTTGGATGTCAACTGTGCCAGTAGCAACTCTACAAGTAGCTAATTCAAAAAGCACAAACAAGTGACTTCAATTCTTCTGTTCTCTTTTACCATTTCAGTTTTTGTATACAAGAACTTGGGCTGGAACTTGGGCTTATCATCACACTTACCTAATACAGGCAGTCCACCATTTGTAGTAATTTTCAGATTGTTTGTTGAGATAAGAAGCAGTAGTTTAGATCTGATACATTAATTAATTAGACAAATATATGACTGACAGATGACAATGTATCACTGATTCCAAAGCTGTTCTGTAGAATGGAGGAGCAGGGACAACAGTTTAAGTGGTTTGTTGCTTAAGTTGTGTGGTTTTAGTGATAACAGCCTTTGTTCTTCCCTGGGGCTGATGTAGGGAAAGAACTGGTCTTCTGCCAGGGATACGGTGGCCTGTTCCTCTGGATCGGCTCTTGCGCCCTCCACTCCTGGTGATGTGTAATTTTGGGGCTGGCAATCCATGCTGCGTCAATCATCTATCTAAACCTTCTCGGACAGTGACGTAAAACAGCTAAACATGATGCCTTCCTCACCTACTATGAGTGTTAATTTTCTTTCCTTCTAAGAGTAAAAACTTATTTTCCAAAGCACGACCCTCATGATAAGGTAGTGTGGTGTTTATTAAATCTTTTATTGCCCCTTGTAAAAGGCTAGTTAACTGCTGTGACACAGTTAATTGAGGTTTCATGATATAAAGAAATAATAAATATGGAGTATGAAATGAAGTCCATTTTAAAGGGCACCTGACATTCCAACACCCATTCCTAATCTCCACTTTTGCTTTAAAAGAATGTGTGTCCTTTGCCACCCCTGGGAATTAATCTGCTCTTTCTAATCTGCCTTGGCTCCTCTCTTGCTCCCGCTCATGTATTAACATTAGTCCCATTTCTCCATCTCGGCTCTTGTTCCTACCTTTGTTCTTGCCTTTAGAGTCTCTAGTGTTTATTGCTGCCAGCGAGGACTTTCAGCTCCTCTCCTGTCTCCCATTCTGAGCTGCACTGATAACCAAGCCTCCATCTACTGTCAACAGTTCATCAGGGCAGTCAGTCCTGGAACTTGAGCCACTACCAGCACCAACCAAACTCTGCCACTAGATGGAGTCTGGCCAATTTAAAATGTTATTTATGAATGTTATGTTATTTATAAACGTTGGCATTTAGGAAGATACAGCATTTCAACTTGTATCATTCTAAAATTTCTTCTGCTGAGAAAAATCCTAAGTAACTAACTGAACAATATTTTTTTCAATATAGTGTTTTATTTTAGCTTAAATTTTTTTCAGCTCTGAATGCACAGTATTGAATGCATACTATACAATATTTCAACATGGACTTTGGTTTTTCAAAGTAAGAAATCTTTCAAGGGAACTAACTCTGGTTTTAATATTTATTCTGATGATATCCTATCATTCATTTAAAGTTACTTCACTTAAAGTCAGCATTTTCAGTAAAACAGCCTTCACTTTAAATGAGGACTTACTGTAATTGGCAGTTCAGAATAATGTAGGAGCAATGGGAAACAAATGGGAACAATGTCTTCACATTGACCACTACCCTCCATCTTGTTGTGTGGCATTACTAGTGTGCTAAATGGAATAGATTTTAAACACATATCTGGCAACTCCAAGACTGGGTATCCACAAGATGCACAGAACTGGATTCCAGCGAGACAGAATCTAACCATTGCCCCATGATATTCATTGGCATTATCTCATGAACTCCTTACTATTAACACCCTGGAGATTGCCATTTTCCAGAAACTGAACTGGAATAGCCATATTAGTACTGTGGCTACAAGGAAAGGTCAGAGGTGGGGAGTCCTGCAACAACTAATTCACCTCCCAACTCCCCAAAGCACAAGGCAAGAGAGTAGTATGGTGGAATACTCTCCACTTGTGTGAATGAATGAAGCTCCAACATTGCTCAAGATGATTGGCACAATCCAGGATGAAGCAGCAACCTTAATTAACATCACATCCACAAACATTCACTCCGTCTGACACTAATGCTTTGTAGCAGTGGCTACAGCAGTGCCATCTGCAAGATAAGCTGCAGATATTCACCAAGACTCCTTAAAGAGCACCTTATAAACCCATGGCCGCTTCATCCAAAAGGTCAATGGCAACAGATACGTGGGAATGTCATGACCTATAAGTGTCTTCTGAACCTATCACCATTTTGGCTTGGAAATATATTGCTATTCCTTCAGTGTCAGAGGATTAAAATCCTGGAATTCCCTTCCGAATAGCATTATAGGTGTAACTGCTAGAAAATGGACTGCAGCAGTTCAAGAAGGTAGCTCACCCCACTTTCTCAAGGGCAACTAGAGATGGGCAATAAATGCTGGCCCAGCCAATGATGTCCATGTTGCGTAATGAATTACTTTAAAAGTGCATGTTATGATACTGACTTACCTCCATAAGTCATTTTAGGAACAAGGACAAGGCTTTTAGCCCTTGGTTCATACTCTGACATTCACTAAGACGATGGATGTTATGTTCCATTCAACTCCATTTTACTGACTGCTGCACATAACTCTTGACTCCCTTATGTCAAAAATCCATATAACTTGTATTCCCTAACAAGGAGTGAGACTGAATGTTAAAGTGGATGAGCAATGAAGGTGACCTTTAATATTGTAGAAACTAGCTATTCATTAAACATAGAGTTGTCAACAGATGTATTTGGGCTTTTCAGACCAGACCTCATGATAATCAGTGAGCACTAATAGCATGATGACCTCCACAGGTAATCTGGGGCCTGTGTGAACAAGATTTAACAGTATTGTGTTTCCTTAAGCAATCAGGTTGAAGAATCTTTACTGAGACAAAATTAGGAAATGAATGTTAGAATAGTTGATTCAACATCGGAGCATATAAGAGAAATAAAATGGAAGATGCATAAAGACAGTTAAAGAAGCATAAAGAAGTTTTAAATAAAATTAACAAAATTTAAGATTTGAAGGAATAAGATTTCTCATAACTAGAGGGCATAAGCTTAAGGTGAGAGGGGCAAGATTTAAAAGGGATCAAAGGGGAAACTTTTTCACGTAGAGGGTGGTTTGTGTATAGAATGAGGTGCCAGAGGAAGTGGTGGAGGTGATTACAATTATGTAATTTGAAAGTCATCTGGATGAGTACATGAATAGGAAGAGTTTAGAGGGATATGGACCAAATGCTATCAAATGGGACTAGATTTATTTAGGATATCTGGTTGGCATGGACGAGTTGGACCGAAGGATCTGTTTCTGTGCTGTACAACTGTGACTCTACTTATAAAAAGTTATTTTTTTTCAGTGCCTGAGATTGTTTTGGAAGAAATTATACCATTTAAAAATCCACTTTGTACTTTAATACCATCTACAACTTTTCCTGTCATATTTGATCCCTTCAATATATTTGAATGCTAAGTTTCTTGGTCAAATGCATCCAGCGCAGCATCTAGAGGAGCAAATTACCGCATATGCTGGAATCTGTACTGAAAACAAAAATGCTGGAGATCGTAGTGGGTAAGAGGGCAAGCTAATGTTAAGCCTGATGAAGAATCATCTAGACCCAAAACATTAGCTAACTGTCTGACCCACTATGATCTCCAGCATTTGTTGTTTTCAGTACAGATTCCAGCATCTGCAGTAATTTGCTCCTGTAGATGCTGCGCGGTGTGCATTTGACCAAGAAACCTAGCATTCAAATATATTGAAGGGCTCAAATATGACAGAGCAAGCTAATGTTTTGGGTCTAGATGATTCTTCATCAGGCTCAACATTAGCTTGCTACCTCTCCATGGTTGCTGTCTGACCCACTATGATCTCCAGCACTTGTTGTTTTTCAATGCAGCATCTAGAGGAGTAAGGCAACTTAGATAGCAACTTCCTGATTTTTTACTTTCTGTGTTGAGCAGCACAGACTCTGGAAATTGCTGTCCAATTTTCTCTTTAAATAACAATGGCAATAAATTCTCCAGTATCCTACTGCACAACAAATGCCAATTAACTTATTTTAAAAGTCAAATTTTTACAGTTAACTTGTTTCCACCAAGTTCTTTAAAATAATTTGTACTTAAACTTCTCTTCCACTTTAAACAATACAGGAAGAAAATAAGTATAATTACTGAGAACATCAACCAGAACCAGAGCGTTTTCTTTCATGTTCATGATATTTTAGGCAATTGTTTAATGCTGTGATTGGAAATCAGAAAAATGCAAGTACATAACTTAATGACTACAATTTAATTTAAGGCCAAATTTTGCAACTTTTTTAAAAAAGTGAGTCTGCACATCATGATCTGATAATTAACAATGGTAAATTTTGCCTAAATTCTCACCTTGTTCTTGTGTATGATAACCAGTACTTTAGAATTTCAATTTTTGTGACTAATAATGAAACCAAGCCCCTTTTTCTTGCATTGGAAACCAGTAGTAAAGGAATCTATGCTATCTTTGTGCTGTTTCTACCAAATCGTCTTGGGTACCGAATAGACTCAAAGCAAACATGTTAGCAGTGAAGTACAAAATTACTTGCAATTGAATTTTAAGGCAAAGGGCCTAAACAAAGTAGTCATAAATATTGGGCAAATATTCCTGAAGACTTGTAGGACATTCAATGTCGTAGCCAAGGCTAAAGGGACAAAAAGCAGATAAGCGATAGACAAAGTAAAAGGGGAAAAAATTGGTACAGGCTCAAAGCTGTTGCTAAGTGAACTATGTTATTGCTAATTAAGAGTCAGTTGTGCTGTTTGTGATAGGTACCCTCTGTGCCACTCCATAGTTAATAATTTGCCTGGAGAAGTATCGCCAATTTCATTTCAGCAGCTTAACGTTATTCTGAAGAGTCGCCAGACCGGAAACGTTGACTCTTTCTCTCCACAGGTGTTGCCAGACACGAGTTTCACCAGCAATTTCTGTTTTTGTTTTAGATTTCCAACATCCACAGTTCTTTGTTTTGTGTTTAACATTTAGTTACTGGACCTATCAGGTCTTTGATGTATGGTTATTTAAAGTATCTTTGCAGTTCCACAAATCGGCTGTTCAATGACTCAGACTCTGAAGTCATTGTGTCACATTTGTCTGCCAGGGATGAAGTACGATTTGGGCTATCTTAGAAGATGCAACCATTCTGGATACATTGATTATTCAACTTGACATACCTGCTTTCCTAGATCTATTCCTAATCTAATATCCACTGATACCAGTATGGTGCTAATGAACAATATTGAACAATTAGTTTATAATCTTGAGCCAAGAATTATATAGAAAAATGTTTGTGTATATATTATGTACATAGAAAAATTAGAATGGTATAAGTGACCAGAAGAATTGAAGTCACTTGTTTGTGATTTTTGAAATGGCTATTTGTAGAGTTGCTGCTGGCAGAGTTGACATCCTAGCAACTCTGCTGATCTATTTCAAGTGGGTTGTCTTTAGATTTTGATTTCCGGATTTTGCAAAGTTGTGTGTGAGATGTTCCTACTTCAAATTGCATGTGAATGAATTGCCTGCCTGTTTAAAGTCCGGTCACTTTAGCCAGAAACATCATTGTGGAGCAAAGTTCCAGCATGAAATAATGTTTCCCCCTTACTGATAGCCACATTAAGATTGCTACAGTGACTGGAAGGGGAAAGTACTGACTGACTCCTAGATATTAATGATGTCAAGGGCTATGGGGATAAGTATGGGAAAGTGGTATGAAGGTCGATAATCTACATTCATTCTAATTTCTCCAGCTGCTTTATTGTTCATTCTTCCAAATTCCAATGAGTATAGGCTCATACGGTCTGACCTTATTTGAATTGACAACCATTTGTCCCAACAAGCAATCTAGTGAACCTTCTCCAAGATTCCTCTAATGGAAGTATATGCTTCCTTAAATAAGGAGACAAAAACTGTGCACCATATTCAAGGTGTGTTCTTACCAATACCTGGTAAAATCGCAGCAATAAAGGCCAACATCATCTTTGACTTGATTACTTGCTGTACCTGCATGCTAACCTTTTGTTATTATTGTACAAGGACCCCTTATCCCACTTTGCTACAAATTTCCTGAAGCTTGCTAGCAGAGCTGGGACAATGGTAGTACATGTACCAAGTGGTTAAAGTATAGGAATATAGGTATACTTTCTAAAATTGGAGGAAGGTAAATTGTGGGGTTCCCTAGGGATTAAATCCAAGACCAGTGCTTTTCTTGTATTGACTTAGACTTGGATGTACAGTGCACAGTTTCAAAATTTTCAGATGACAAAGTATTTTTAAGTAATATGAACTGTGAGGTGGATAAGGATTGACTCCGAGGATATGAGCTGGTAGAATGGATAGATGTGTGGCGGACAAAATTTAATTCACAAGTTTAAAGTGATACATTTTGATACAAGAAATAAGAGACAATACAAGCTAAAAGCTACAATTCTGAAGCTTAAGCAGTAGCAGAGGTATTTTTGCACAAATTATTGAAGATTGCAAGCAAGGATGAGAAAGTGATTAACAAAACTTGTGGAATTGTAATGATAAATCTTTATAGAACATTGGTTCAGCCTTAACTAGAGAATTGTGTCAGGTTTCTAGGCACTGCAGTTTTTAAAAAAAGAAGGCTTGCAAAGGCTTTGAGAGAATGCAGGAAAGTGTAATGAGAATTGTCCCAGGGATGAGCGACTTCAGTTATTGGGATAGATCAGAAAAGCTGATATTTTTAAAGGAAAGAAGCTTGAGAAGGGATTCAGTATTGCTACTGAAAGCCATGAGTCTAAACAGAGTAGATAGGGAGAAACCTTTCTTCAGCAGGAGGATTTGAGAATCAGAGGAGTCTGATTTAAGCCGAGTGACAAAAGAATCAACAGTATAGGAAGAAAACCTTTGTTGCAAGTGACTAAGGAGGTGGAACGCACTGCCTGAGAGCATGGTGGAGAGATTCAGTCATAGTTTCAAAAGAGAATTGGATGAGCACCTGAAGAGAGAAAATTTGCAGAGAAAGGGTAGAGGACTCGGGAGAAGTAAATTGCTCATGAAGAGAACTGGTATGGGCCCATCAAGCAATGTAAGCTCATGTGTTGTAAATATTCTATTAATGATTAACAGAGATTTGTAGCTTTTCCATAAATTCCTTTGTCAGAGAATTATGTATAATTTTAGTTAAACTTTTATTAAAATGCACCTTGGTTTCAACTGACTTTTTGGTGTTTTCTTCAGTTTCTATGCCTGGCAAAAAAAAGTACTTTTGTGTTTGAAGATAGAAGAATGGTGACCATGTTTCCAATTTTCTGCAAATTTTAGAAAATGCATTCTCTGATGCATTGGAATGAACTTACTTAAAACTTGTCCATGTTCTTAGAAAGATGTATTTCAGCTGAAGGATTTGGAGAAGATTGCACCAAAGGAGAAAGGAATCAGTAGGTATCAGTTTTACTGTCACTACTGTCTGATCTCTTGCCCAGGAGGTTATAGTATTTTAAGTTAATTATGGCTCAGTTTATTTTAGAACATTTAATCAAAGATCGCATAATGGACAGTTGTATCTAATAAAATTGCCATTGTTTACAAATGTACTTGACATGTATATTTAAAAGTTAAATGTGTCATGTACAACTGGAAAATGGGTAGATTTGGTACTATAGTAAATGCATTCCCCTTCAATGACTGAAATTAAAATCAATGCAACTCTCACCAATTTGATTTTAAAATGTGCTTATACTATTGTGAGGGTATGTTGTGGAAATCTCAATATTTTTAGCTGTAGCATAGCCACAACAAAAAAAAACTATCCACAATGTGGTACAAATGAATTGTCAGAACAGTTTCTGATTTAAAATCCTGCTGGCATAAAATTGGTGAGCTCTGATACCAGACAACCTACAGAAGGTAGTTTAAATTTAAACTATGTTCTGCTCACAATTGAAACTTTATGCCTTTTCTTGTTGAGACTGCCTTCCTTTTAAAGTGGTATAAAGAAAGAAGGAGCTGCCATTCCCCCTTCCTTACTTGGACAGGACACCATAGGTTTCTTTCCGTCTTTGAAGAGGAGGAGATGGTAATGTAGTGGTATTGTCACTAGGCTAGTAATCCAGAGGCCTAGGCTAAAATTCAAATTCCACCCTGGCAACTAGTGGAACCTGAGTGCAATTAATAAATCTGCAATTAAAAGCTAGTTGTGTGGCCACCATGAGACTAATTGATTGGCGTAAAAACCCATCTAGTTAACTGATCTCCTTTAAGGAAGGAAATCTGCATCCTTCCCTATGTGATTCCAGGCACACAAGTGTAATTGACACTCAATGGTGTATCCCATTGTACTGTTATAGGAAGTCTGGACCATTGTCATTGTTGAGTCGCATGAAGAGCCAGAAGTCAGTGCCTACTTTGCCTGTAGGCCCATTCTTGGTGCCACCAAACGATGCCCAAGAAACATGCCATACTACAGCTGCTGGCCTATTCAAATTACTGCTCATCAACATGGTCTACTTTGTTCCAGTGACAGCTCTGGTTAGTGCCCCCCTCAGGAAACAGCAAACAGCAGTTTGAGCCATATGTAGTCAGTGAGGGATCAGGAACAAGGCTAACGAGTTGGGCTGAGTAAATGTCATGATCCCAGGATTTTAATTTGTGATTTAAAAACATTTGAAAATTAATTCCTTGCATTTCTCCTTTTCTTTGCGAGCATTGCTACCTCTGACATCACAGGCACTATTATTGGTATGGGCAGTGAGTGCATTTCTTGCAATTGTGGTTGCAGCAAATGAGGTTGACACCTTTAACTGCCCTCTGAAATGGCCTAGCAAGCCACCCATTAAATGCTACAAAATCTAAAGAAAGAAATGAAACCGTACACAATCAAGTTCGACTTAGGGACTGGAAATGCCGAGGGAAAATCCAGCCATGCTGACCCTGCAAAATTGTCTTGGTAACGTCTGGGACCTGTGACAAAATTAGGAGGGCTGTCCCAAAACCTAGTCAAAGCAACAACCTGAAATACTCGGAGTCATACTTTACGGGCAATGCTTCAGACACCACTATCATTGTCCCTGGATTTGATCTGACAGGACAGACTCACCATAGATGGCAGCACAGTGACAACAGTCAAGAACAGGGTTGCCCTGGACATTATTTCTAGATCCCTTGAAAAATCATAGGATCAGGCTCAACATGGGCAAGGAAACTTCTCAGTAGTAACAAGTAGCTCCACAGCCCACCTTCTCCATACTGACCACTCTTTCTTCGACTGTTAAGGTATCTCTAACCTCCATGCTTCGCAAAGTTATTGAGCTTTTATGGGAGCATCAGCAATGTTAGTACAATTCTAATGCATAATGAGTAAGGGCGACATTGCTTATTGTAATACTTGAACTTTATTTGCTGAACATTACTTTTTTTAATGATGTGTTGTTTTTACTGGCATTAAGTTTGAAGACTTTTTCATAGATATGGGCGCCGCTGGAAATGCCAGCATTTATCACCCATCCCTGCCTGCCAGAAAGTGGTGTAAAGTTAAAATATGGTGACATTGAAAATAGTTTATACTACCACTGAGCCAGGAAAGCTACCTAACCTCAAAAATTTAGGAGCACTTTACCACAAATTAATCATAATGCTCATCACTCCAGAACAATGTTGAACCTTGCTTCACCACAACAGCTATTGTTGTCAAGACTTAGATGGAAAATGGTGCCATACAAAATAGCCTTTTGGTTTTATTCTAACAATGATTAATCTTCATTTGCAGACAAGAGACAAATGTAAGCTGTTCATGTGTTTTTGCCATTTCAGCTTCCATGTCTGTGAAGGAAGTACTGCAGAGTCTAGTTGATGATGGAATGGTCGACACTGAACGAATTGGAACTTCTAACTACTTCTGGGCATTTCCAAGTAAAGCTCATCATATTAGAAAAAAGAAATTGGAGCAATTGAAGCATCAGGTGAATGTTGCAGTGTTTGAGATGACCGAATGTTTGGCTTTAGAGAATATTTGGTATGCTGCTCCTGCTAAGAGATTAGCTGTCATTGTATGCCACACTTGTCTGTCTTGTGCCAAACCATGGTTATTGTTTGCAACCACTCTGATGCCTATCACCCAAGAATACCTACATTAACCTCTCTACTACTGTCCAGTCTGCTATCCGAAGGAATCTTTGTAGCTTTTCAGTTCTGATCAAATGGCTGAAATGTTAACATGTTCTTTTCTAATTGCCAATTTTTAGTGATCTTCTTGTCTTCATTTTGTGTATATATGAAATTGTTACTATATGTCTTGGCATCATGTTTCACAGGCATCTATTTCCTCCCATAGATCTTTACTTTTTGTTGAGACTCTGAGGCACATGAAACAGTGGATAGAATATATCATCTAATGAGTTTTTTTTCCTTAATTTTTCTTGTTGACTTATTTCTAATCTTCAGAGAATTATTTCTGGCTGATTTTATCCGTCTTCCAACTTCTGCATCGCATCTGCCATCTTCTGTTTACATTTTCTCAAAACAGACTTGAACTAGGATGACACCATCCACTATAGTCTTTACACTAGTTGCCCTGATGTATTCCCAATAACTAAATTTTTTTTATGCTTAATCCATATTCTAAACTTTGAGATTTGCTTGATCCATAATATTTTTGTGGCCTATTCTTGAGAAACTACCTCTTCCATTGAGTGTGACAAACTCAGAAGCAATCTCTCCCGAGTTTAGATCAACCTTTCATAAATTCGTTGATTGCTTAAAAAGTCAAGGACTTCTCTGTTACTATTTACAACAGAATCAGTTATAGGAGACCCAGCCTCTTCTAAATTTCCTATTTTTCCACTGTAACTTTCTATGACTTTTTCCATATGGATTTATGCTGTGTGAGGTCCCATATTCCTCACAGATGACTGGCCACATTGCCTTGCTAAGTTTCATGACTGTGCCCTTGGATGTGTCACACACTTTGTTGGTTTCTGCCTTCTGAGCCACCGTCATACCAACTTGTTAGGATCTGCTACCTCTTCTGCCATTCCCAGACTTGCTGTACAGTCGAAGTGGTGACCACACACACCCACCCACCGAAACCACCATTACATCATCTGAAGCTGATAGGCCTGTCATTTAGTTTTGCATGACTTCCAAGTTGCAATCCTGAGCTATAACTGTTGATATGCTTAACCAGCTACTTGGAATCATAAGCAAAAATTGGAGAGATGTGAGACACTGGTCTCTCCAGCTAGACCCTTATTGACAAGAGTGTACAGCTCCAAAGGGGATCAAGTGTACTAACACTCACAAGCATCTCCCATATGCAAATCAAAAATGAATATTTAATGGAAATGATTATTTGGAAAATGAATAGACAGACCTTTGTCAGCACAGTTGCAGATTGCTGATGCTCCATTTGCCCAAACAGCTTGCCCATATGTATGACTCAGGACAGTTTGTTTCTTTTCTTCACCCATCGTGCTGCCCAGTAACCCCACCCACAATCTTTGCTCCCTCCCCCACCCATACCAATGAGTGTCAGACCCCAGCTCCTAATTGGACCCCTCACGTTTGATCAGAACCCCACAACTATCCCTGCCTCATTTCTATGTGGCTGAGTAAAGCAGGCTTCCTATCCAGTCTATCAGCTGGAGTCCCAATGAGGGGGAGCCTGACAGAAAAACATTTTAAAGTCGACCTGCTCGTAATGCCTGTTCTCAACCACTATTCCCTGTCACCCATTGTCTCTGTGCTAAAATTTAGGCCAAATTTACATTTACTGTGGAGCTGTAGTGAATAACACATTGAACACTTTTAATATTGGTAAAAATTGGAATATATCATGTTGTCTTGCGCAGTGCTGTGATCTAGCAGTATCTTTGTTTGTTGAGTACAGTTTTGATCAGTGACACTAGGAATCCATTCTATCTTCATGTCCCAGTCAGTTGAATTATAAAGGAAATCTTCAGAAGCTTTGGCTTTTTAGCCTTGAAACAAACTTGCTATGGTGGAATCTATGCAAGATAGGTAGTATAGGGAAAGTAATCTGAACCACCACTGCTGCTTCATTTTGGGTGAGAGGCAAATCTAGGCAGTTGTTTATAATGATGAGCATGTTGATTGAACAGCTGAGAGACTTTGATGAAGTGAAAGTATTGCAGTTATTAAGAAGCCTGATTTGTGTCATCTGGTCAATTAAAATGACTGGTCTTTCTCATTCATATTGATCTTGCGCAAATATCAACTGAGCTCGGTTTATCTGTTCAACAGTATTAACCATGAAACAAACACAATGTTTGAGAAACTCAGCAGGTTTAACAGCATCTGTGGAGAGAGAAACAGTTAACTTTAAGTCCAGCATGACTTTAGAACTGAAAAGGTTTGGAAATTTTTTTATATTTTAAGAGGCAGAGGAGGGATGAAGGGAACAGGTGTTGAGATCTAGTGCAAAAGAGAGAGGTTTTAAAGTTGTGAAAGACAAAAAGAGAGATGTAAAATGGGTGTAACTTAAAGGTGTGAAACAAGGAGAATGGGTCCTCTCTACTGAGAACAAAGTAAACAAGTCACAAACAAAACAAAGCTATGGCAGGGAGCAGATAGAGAATGTAACAAAGATGGAGAACAGACATCATGTGGTCAGCTCTGAAGTTGTGGAATTTGACATGAAGTCCCAGCGGTGGTAAAGTGTCTAAACAGAAAATGAGGTGTTTGGGTCACTCCTATGGACAAAGCAGAAATGTTCCGAAAAGCGATCATCTGGTGGTCTCCTCAGTCTAAAGGAGATCATGTTGTGAGCAATGAATATAGTAGACTAGATGGAAGAAGTACAAGCCGTTGACCAGCTCCTGATGACAGAAACATTGAGAAGCTGCCATCAGATTAAATGCCATAAGGATCTTGGCTGTGGCAACAAGGCGTAGTGCAGACCCATGGTGGTAGAGGTGAGTTTTGGTTCTCAGTGGCATCGGCATCCAGTGCGGATGCATGGCAATGACGACAGAGTCAAGTTTGGTCCCATTGTGGGTCTCGGCAGCATTGCTGAGGTTGGCCCAGCACAGCCTCGTGGTGGCGGTGGCGTCGTCAATGGAGGCAAGATGGCACCGAAGTGTGGCGACTCTTGTTCCAGTGGCAGTGATGCAGCGAAGAGACTGAGGCTGGCTGACTGCATCGTGCTGGTGATTGTCTCAGCATCGAGGTGGTGGAACCCAGATTCAGGCCCATGGCTGAGCACTTAGCAGGAATATAAAGCAGAACTTTATTTCTTTAGTTTCTGCCTTTTATATTCTAAATTTTGGTTTATTTTCTGTTTTAAGATGGCACTGGAGAATGGTGATACCAAACAACACTTTTCACTATTTGTAACAAAATACATGTGACAATAAACAAGTCAAATAAATAAACCAAATAAAGTAAAATGGTGCTTTATCTGGAAAGTGTGTTTGGGACCTTGGGAAGTGGTAATTAGACATGGCAGGTAGTTTGAACCTTTATATAGAAATCCTCCACAGGGCCTTCTTTCTTCAAGTTTAACTTTTGATTATCATAATTTTACAAAAGTATCCTGCAATTTTCAATTTTCACATTGTGCTGGTTGCTTCTCTTCATTATTTTAAGAATTTGGGTTATATTCTCAGTAATTAATATGTTGAAGTTACTTGATGTGCTCAATATTCTGCTTGATTGGTTAGATTTTCAGGCTCGCCAGTCTGCAGTCGTCTTGCTGAATGTTTTAAGTTGTTGGCTATGACTCATACTGTGTAATTTTTGCAATTCTGCAAAACGTTTTGGATTTGTGTTTGGAAACACCTCTCGTTGCATAGTAGCTATTTGGTTGATGAGCCTTATCTTTTATTTCCCTCTTTTGAAATTAGCTACAGGCATCAATCTTAAAATGAAAAATTTATTATTTGATCCAGACTAATGAGCTATAATACACATGAAGGTAGGCAACAGGGATGAATTGTCAGACACTGGGAACTTACTGTTCTCTATGTTTCACTAGGGTAGCATGCTAGAAATCAAGCTCCATTTATTCCCAGAGTCGTCATAGAGATACTCCAAGTTCTCCAATTAACCTGACTTTCAGACCCATATTGACAGAAAGCATAGACAGGATTTCTATATTTAACAGGAATTGCTACTTATTACAAGTACAACTTTAGCTACAGGTACTGGCATATAAACTGACTAGTTAAAACTCCACCCCGCTTAAACTAGCACACAACTCTGGCTCACTAATCCACTTAGTAACTCATTCCAAAAACATGGGTGTTATAGATGGAGGGATAACTGGGAAAGCAGCTCAAATGATCTCTCTGCTCACAGTACCTGGTGAGATGGTCTTGTGCTGATCAGAACCCTATTGTCAGTCTTCCTTCCCCAGATACTTTCACTGGTTTGCAGGAAGCACAGGGTGACTGGTTCACAGTTATAAAAAGGTCTGATTTATTAATTAAAAATTATAGCAACTGCTGAAGGGAAAATAAACCAGTTTAATTCGACCTTGAAACTGATTTTGTTGCAGAAAACAAAGTTCCTGAGCTGGTGGAGATCTGATGACCTCTTTATCCTGTTCACACCCCTAAGCTGTTCACTTCCCTGGGAGCCAATCACAAAGTTGTTGACAAAGACCTTCTGTCTGCCATCGACAAGTGGTCAGTAGTCCACAGATCAATCAGCTACTTGCCATTGTCTGAATCTCTATTTTATACATACCATCTCATCCAGCCCTCCTCCTACCACTTTAACCCACAGCTGTGTAAGTAGTACCTACAAAGAGAGCCAGGTTACTTTCAAGCATTCAGTGATCCTTCAGTAATCCTTGGTTTTAAAACTTCTCTTCCCATTTCAATTGATAATTAATAAGTACAGAATCATACAAAGGCCTATTCTTTACACATCTCAGTTCAGATTATTGCCTCTGCATGTTGGTAGTAGTTGCTGTTTGCCTGTAGCCTTGAGGCAATATTCTTATCTGCTTTGGAATGAACTGGGTGTGTTTAAAAATTTGTTGAAACTTAACTCAAAGTATGCTGTATCCTAGTGATAAAACATCCCACCACTAGGTGTCATATTGTGATAGACTTTAATCTTAATGGCAGTGGTGGCAAATAGATGTATTTTGGGTCCAGTGAAACTTACCTTAAATAAAAGTACAGAGAAGCATTGTTTTCTAATACCCGAAATTCTATCCGCCTCCCACTCTCTCCCTATTTATTTCAGAACCCCCTTCCCCTCCCCCTTTTCTGATGAAGGGTCTAGGCCCGAAACGTCAGCCTCTCTGCTCCTATGATGCTGCTTGGCCTGCTGTGTTCATCCAGCTCTGCACCTTGTTTTCTAATACCCTGTTGTTTTGATTTTTAAAAACATGAATTTTAAACTGTATTGCAGTTTTAGTAAGTTCCCTGTTTGTCTTTAAGGCTGAGAAATATTAGCATTTAGTGGTGTAGTTACATTATGTAATTCCTTAAACGTAAGACCGCTAATTTCTATGATTAGTTAAATACCATTACATCAATGATATGTGCTGTTTAAAGTGAATTTAATGAATAAGAATGTGGTGATACTGTATTCCTTCAGGGTGCATTCTTGTCTGTGGTGCTGCAGTGCTTGGCTGAAAGGCAAGGAGTAGAAACCAGTAGTAACTTCTATAACTCTTGATGACTAGAGCAAGAGTGCTATTATAAAAGCCTGATATCTTGTTTTGGAAATTATGTCTCTGTGGCAAACAATTAAGATTTTTTAAAATAACAAAATTCCATCTTGGCTACATCTGCATGTAAATGCTTTACAGTGGGTATATTGATGTATAGGCAATTAATTCAACACATGCAAGGTACTTAAAGTTGCTCAATGTATTTCTATTCTCTACCCTTGTAAAGCATCTTAGTAATTTTACTAAGAAAAAAATGTCTAAATGCAATTAGTAATATGAGACCTTTCTAACTCTGCAGTATAGTAAATAAAACTATAGTCACCTGTACTGAAAGAAATGTTACAAATTTTGAAATAGTGATTTCACTTTGAACTGATGCTACGATTGTAATGCGATTGCAGCCTAAATTTGATGTGGAAATCTACACTAATTGCCAAGATCATTGAATATTACTCTAGATTTTCTCATTCAGTTCTGTATTTTCCAATTGGAATAATAGGAATGGAGTTATTGGATATTTATGTTATAAATAATTGAAAGGAAAGTTAGTTCGCTGTCACTGACCTTAATCTGTGTTGTGCTGGGAATTATTTTTGCTGTAAATGGAGGGCTGCAGGATAGCCAATCTGGTACTGTCATTCAAGAAAGGACCAAAGGATAAGCCAGGAAACTATAGGCCATTCAGCTCATCCTCTGGTGGAGAAGCTATTGGAAGCAATTTTGAGGGACAGAATTAATCTGCAGTTGGAGAGGCAGGGATAAATGAAGAACAGTGAGCATGGTTTTATTAAGGGTCGTGTCTGACCAACTTGATTACCTCACCAAAAAATTCAGTCAAGTGTGTAGATGAGGCCAATGCTTTTGATATAGTCTACTTGGACATCAGCAAGACTTTTGATAAGGTCCTGTGTAGGAGACTAATAACAGGTAAGAGCCCATGAGATCCAAGGAAATTTGGCGAATTGGATTGCCAGGGTGGCTTGTAGCAGTGGGTGATGTTAGAGGGATGTCTTTCTGACTGGAAATCTGTGATATTGGGGTCCTGTATCAGTCAATGTTGAGGCTCCTTCTGTCTGTGGTTTATATAAATAATTTAGACTTGAATGTTGGAGGGTTGATCAGTAAGTTCACAGATGATACAAAATTTGGTGGGGTGGTGTATTGTGAGAAGGATAGCCTTAGATTACAGGAGGATATAGATGAGCTGATTAGTGGCAAGTAGAATTCAATCCGAATAAGTGAGTTGATGCATTTGGACAAACAAGGCAAAGATTACATGATGAATTGTGGGACACTGGGAAGCATTGAGAATCAGCGGGACCTCGATGTGCATGTTCGTTAAGGTATCAGGACATGTGGATAAAGTAGTTAAGAAGGAGAATGGTATACTTGATTTTATTAGCCAAGATATCAGGCTTAGGAGCGAGTTTATGCTGAAACTGTTGATTGGGCAACAGAGTTGTGTGCAGTTCTGGAATCCATATTATAAGAGAGATATGATAGCACTGAAGAGGATGCAGAGATTTGTTAGGATGTTGCCTGGGCTGGGGAGTTTGTTATGAAGAGAGAGAACAGATTGGCTTGTTAACTTGGGGCAGAAGAGATTGACAGGGAACATGATTGAGGGACATAGATAGGATAGACAAGAAGAAACTTTGCTCCCTCCATCAGGGAGAAATGACCACAGGACAGAAGTTTAAAGGGCGGAAGGTTTAGAGGAGTTGAGGTAAAACCTTTTCTTGGACACAGTGATGGGAATCTGGAAATCACTGTCAAAGGTTGAGGCAGAAACCGTCATAACATTTGAAAAGTATTTAAATGTGCATTTGTGATGCCAAAGCATACAAGGTTATTGGTCAAGTGCTGGAAAATGGGATCAGAATTAGCTAGTTGTTTTGACTGGTGCTGATGCAATAGGCTGAAGGGCCTTTTTGTACTGTGGATCTCTGACTCCTACTTCTTTCTAAATTTGCTTTCTAAGTTTTATTTTCCACTTTCTGTTTCCAGCTTGCTGAAGGAACCCAAAGGAAGCAGAGTTTACAACAAAGTATTGAGAAGGCCAAAGTGGGGCGTCAGAATACAGTAAGAATATTTATCTTGAAACTTGGGGTCTACCTGGGCAAAAATAACAAGGTTGTTAAAGAATTTATCGCTTGATGCTTAGTTTGATACTATTATGAAAAAATTGAAATGTCTACTATTTTCGGAAGGACCACCATTTTCCTTGGTGTCAGAGGATTTCATATCTTGCCTAATGTGTTAATTTGACTACAGATAAATTGTTTTGTTCAAAGCATTTTCACTAACAAATATCTTGGATGACCTTATAATCAATGCCAACTAGCATGTCAGGGATAGCAATCACTTTAATATTGGAATTACTTTGCTTTGTTTTGCAAGTTTCCAAAGAGCGAGAGGGTTGGCCTACTGAAGGACAGGGAAGGGAATTTAAGTGTGGAGCCAGAGGAAATGGACGAGGTATTACTTGAGTACTTTGCATCTGTATTCACCACAGAGAAGGATTTGGCGGATGATGAGCCTGGGTGTGTAGATAGTTTGGGTCATGTTGAGATCACAAGGGAGGTGTATTGCGGGTCTTGAAAAACATTAAGGTGGACAAGTCCCCAGGGCCTGATGGGCTATACCCCAGAATATTGAGAGAGGCAAGGGAGGAAATTGCTGGGGCCTTGAGAGAAATCTTTGTATGCTCGCTGGCTACAGGGGAGGTCCCAGAGGATTGGAGAATAACCAATGTTGTTCCTTTGTTTAAGAAGGGTGGCAGGTATAATCCAGCTAATTACAGGCCGATGCGCCTTGCATCAATGGTAGGGGAATTATTGGAGAGAATTCTTCGAGACAGGATTTACTTCCAATTGGAAATAAGTGGGCATATTAACATGGTTTTGTGAAGGAGAGGTCGTGTCTCACTAACTTGATTGAGTTTTTTGAGGAAGTGACGAAGATGATCAATGGCAAGGCAGTGGCTGTTGTCTACATGGACTTCAGTAAGGCCTTTGACAAGGTTCCTCATGGCAGGCTGATACAGAAGGTAATATTGCACAGGGTCAGAGTTGAGCTTGCAAGATGGATTTAAAAAAAACTAGTTCGGTCATAGAAGACAGAGGGTAGCAGTGGAAGGGTGCATTTCTGAATGGAGGGCTGTGACTAATGGCGTTCCTCAGGGATCAGTGTTGGGACCTTTGCTATTTGTAATATATATAAATTATTTGGAGGAAAATATAACTAGTTTGATTAGTAAGTTTGTGGATGACACAAGGTTAGTGGAATTGCGGATAGAAATGAGGACTGTCAGAGGATACAGCAGGGTATAGATCAGTTGGTAACTTGGGCAAAGAGATGGCAGATGGAGTTTAATCCAGAAAAATGTGAGGTAATGCATTTCAGAAGATCTAATCCAGATGGAAAATATACAGTAAATGGCAGAACCCTTAAGAGTACTGATGGGCAGAGGGATCTGGGTGTACAGGTACACAGGTCACTGAAAAAGGCAACACAGGTGGAGAAGGTAGTCAACAAGACATACGGCATATTTGCCTTCATTGGCCGGGGCATTGAGTTTAAAAATTGGCAGGTAATGTTGCAGCTTTGTAGATAGGCCGCATTTGGAATATTGTGTTCAATTCTGGTTGCCACACTACCAGAAGGATGTGGTGGCTTTGGAGAGGGTACAGAAAAGATTTACCAGGATGTTGCCTGGTATGGAGGGCATTAGCTATGAGGAGAGGTTGAAGAAACTTGGGTTGTTCTCACTGGAAAGACGGAGGTTGAGAGGCGACCTGATAGAAGCCTACAAGATCATGAAGGACATGGACAGATGGACAATCAGAAGCTTTTTCCCAGGGTGGAAGAGTCAGTTACTAGGGGGCATAGGTTTAAGGTGCGAGGGGCAAGGTTTAAAGGTGATGTACGAGGCAAGTTTTTTACACAGAGGGTGGTGGGTGCCAGGAACTCGCTGCCGGGGGAGGTAATGGAATCAGATACTATAGTGACTTTTAAAGGGTGTCTTGACAAACATGTGAATAAGGATGGGAATAGAAGGATACGGTTCCCGGAAAGGTAGGGGGTTTTAGTTGAGACGCGTAGCATGTCGGTGCTCGCTTGGAGGGCCGAAGGGCTGCTCCTATGCTGTAATTTTCTTTGTTCTTTGTTCTATTAGGTTAAGCAGGTCAGGTGATTTCTGTGCCTTTAAGCATTCGTATAAATGTTCTCTTTTTCAAAAAGATGTTGGTGAGATGGTGTGCGTACTTGTCACTGTAGAGTTTGTTTATCTTTGGCAATGATGCTCATAAATCATTCTATATAAAAGCCAATGTTTCTGGTTTGCCAATCAAATGTGAAGTACAGAATGTGGTCCCGTAAGCAACCTTAAAAATCCCATGTAATATAATTTAATTTACTCAATCTGATAAAACGTTGGCTCCCCATGGGGCTTTAAACCGATGAGTTCAATATCTTAACCAATAGCAATCATTGCTGAACAGTTAATTGATAGAAAAGTGTAATCCAAACCATGACTGTTGTACCCTGATGGTTGTAATGATCCTGCTTGACCAAACCAACCCTGCTCAGTAAACATTTCCGCATTTCATAACACCTTTCTCCCTCCATAGATGCTACCTGACCTAAGTATTTCCTAAGTAAGTTATTTTCATGTTGTTTATTTTAGTTATGTGCTCTGTTACTTTGGCTGTTTTGATTATATCATTTATTTCCAAACTGGTCTGTTGGAGAATCGCAAAAGCTAAATACTGTGAATGCTGGAAATCTGAAATTAAGAAGGGAAAATGCTGGAAACACTTGTTAGGTCTTGCAGTGTCTGTAAAATGAGAAACATAGCTAACGTTTCATGCTGATGACCTTTTGTGCTAAATATGTGAAAGATCAGGATATTGTAATGATTGCTTTTTAATGCCTAAATTTCAACAATTCAATGCAATTTCTATAAGGGAGGGCGTAAATGTACATCACACATCTCCCTTGATTTTCATCTGCACTCCATGCTTAAATAGGGTTCCTCAAGGGCAGATTACATTACTTTGTCAAAAGCCGCACATGTGGAATGGCATGTAGTGTTCAGTGTGTGACATTTTTAATATCCCAGTAAAGCCAATCAAAAATATTTGTTAACTCAAATGTTGTTTGACAAAGATGGCATCAGTATGATGTGCAATTTTTTTGTCGGAGTGCTGATTGTTGAGAAAAGTGATTTTTTTTTTTTCCTGTTCCTCCTTTATAAATACAAGTTTGGTTTTTTTATATGTGGGCAATGCAATAATGGTGGAAGAATTCTTGCCCAGAACTGAGATCCACACTGATGACTTCATTGGAATTCCTTAAGGAATACAACTTTTACACTACATGGTGTACTCATTTTGCTGAGTTCTTGAACTATACTGGCAGTGCCTATTTGGGAGGACCATCCTCAGCTTTTATAAGTAGTAGTTCTATGTTAATGAGAGACTCGGATTATCTTATTGACTCGAATGCAGGAGCAATGTACTGGAAAGGAAGAGTGCTAGAAATACTCAGCAGGTAGCATCTGTGGAGAGTAAAGCCTAGAGTTAATATTTCAGGATCTGAAAGAGAGAATCCTAACCATTTTCCAGTGCAAATCAGTGGCATTGCAATTCCTGAAGCCCACCCATCAAAATTTCTGGCGGTTACCATTGGTCACAAATGTAACTGGACCAGCCATATAAATACTGAGTACAAGAGCAAGTCAGCGGCTAAAATTTCTTTGGCAAGTACTTCACTTAACTCTTCAGAACCTGTTCATTATGTACAAGTGATAAGTCCAGACTGTGATGGAATATTCTCCAATTGTCTGAGTGAAGCTCCAACAACACTCAAGCTTGACAAAGCACCCCTTGATTTGCACGGATAGATATAGGCTAGGAGCAGGCAGATGGACCAGTTTAGTTTGCGATTAAGTTCGGCATTGACTGATCGGACCAAAGGGTCTGTTTCTGTGCTGTATGACTGACTCTGTAAAACCTCTTCAAGGCCTCTTTGTTGTTACATCTTTGACTAAAGAGTTAGTAACCACAGTTTGCTTCTTTAATTACTTCACCATCTGTGAATGATTTCTTATGTTTTGTCAGATGGTACCAAATGTGAAATGATGCAGGCCTTGCATGTTACTCCTGGCTTAGAAAAATTTACTCCAGGTTTCAAATTGACCTTCAGCTTGTCACCTTCTTTTATGTGAAGCATGCTACTTATGGGGAAACTATCCTTAAATTTACTGTGCATCTTTGTCATTCTAAATTCTCCTTTTTATTTATCAATATGCTTTGGTGACATGTAAGGCAAATGTTCTTATTGTTTACAGTTGTGAACAGAAATTTATTTTCCCATTTGCACAGAAGGTGTACATTTTCAGCTTCTTTTTAGACGGTCCAGGTTCATCACTCCTCATTACTGCTAACCATGGATGCATTTATTAACTAAGAGAAAAACTACAATAGCACTATCAGCTAGCTTGTAACTGAGAATATCTTGGGTTAGATGTGCACTCGACATGATAAAGGCATTCTTTTAACCAAGTATTAAAATTGGTTGAACTCAAATGTAATTTGTGCGCTTGCAACCAATCATGAGTTTTAAGTATATTTCTGGAAGCTGCTTTCCCTGTATTTGCTTCATCTTGTGGTTCATTAAGTCATTCTGACATTGGCCTCTAGATCCGTGCATCTGAAACGTTAGGAAAGTTGTTGCCTGCTTTCAAGTGTTGGAGGCAGGGTAAGTCACTTCAGTGGTCATAATTTGTTTCCAGGGTTCTGGGTTGGCTTCCATCATTCAGATATTGGACACGGGTGTGTCAGAGTTCCTGCGCAGACCTCCAAGCCCCGTGTACAACAGCAGCAGCTTCCAGAAGCAGCTGCAAGATGATTGATGTACAAGTTGTGCATGCACATGTTGTGGATAAATCACCACAAGTTACCATTAATTCAATTATTTAATCTCACAGTCAAGTATTGAATCAAAAATTTAAGATTTATTGCACGTAACAACCAAAATAAGACCCCTCAAGTAAATTAAGTCTTGCAACTCAACTTGGT